AATCCATGTATTAAATACTCGAAAGTTTTGGGTCGGTTCGGGTCTCTTCAGAACCGAACCGACCCACGGACAGCCCTGACAATTTAATTCTTTGAGGATTAATAAATTAAGAATAATTTGGGATTAAGTTATGACTAATGAAGAGGTAATATTATCTAATCAACCTACGGTTTCCATGTCTCATGCAGGTGTTGGCATCCCCTTTTCATCATTGTTCCACAAATCAATTATTCCACCGTGTTGGAATAATTCAAAAGAATTGCAAAAAGTAAAATATCAGCAAACTTTCGGCTATGATATTTGGTTGCATGTGCTAAGAAAAACACCAATATATTGACTTGATGCAGGTCCAATCTCAAAGGTCCTAATTAAAAGTAGGGCTACCCATGTTTTTTTTTTTTTCACCATAGAACAATAGTTTCAAATAGGCTATGATATGGCCCCACCCGAACTAACTCGAGCCAGTTCGTGCTTGACGGGTTATTTTTGGGTTGGCCTCGACCCAGCCCAAAAGTCTCGATTTGGATATTTGATTTTCGTTTTTTTTTTTTTAATGAAAATTTGAAGGGTATTTTAACCATAAAACTGACCAAATCAAATCGAGCCGAACTGATTTGAGAAGTTTGTTTGGAAATATCAATTCCTAAGACATTCGTTCTTCCCTCTCTGTTAGTTATAATTAATATCGAGTCAACTTTGAGTCGTATTTTTTTCACCCGAAAAGTAGATTTGATGATCGAATTGGGCCCGAACATGACCCCATTTCAAAGGGAAAGTCCATATTTGGCTTCAACTTTATTATTTTTTTTAATCTCGAAGAATTCCAGCTCCACCTAGAGTGGGGAGAATAGTTAAAAGGGTAAAATTCTGTGGACACTTTCAACCACCATATACATATGTAATGATTTACGGAAAAACTGAAGTTCATGAACCTTAAAAAGATTATAAATTTTAATAAATTTCGTGAATTTAAATATATTTTCACAAGATTCATAAGAATCTCATTAAAAATGATAAAATTTAAAAAAAGTTGCTGTGTATTTTTAAGTTTGAAATCCATCAAAATATTTTGCAATCTTTTGTTAATAAAATCCCTATAAGTTAACAAGTTATTGAGAACATCTAAATATTAAAAGATTTCATTGAAATATATTAAAATTTCAATTAAGGACACTTAGATATAATTGAATTTTAACAAAATTTATTAAAATCTCGATTGAGGATACCTGAATTTAAAATGACTTTTAAAATCCATCAAAATCTCAGTTGAGGACATACTCATTGAATACGACGGTTGCAAAAGACACATTAATTATTTTCATGATATTTTTAATTGCCTTTCATGTTTTGTGATTCTCTAATTATAAATAACAAAGAAAAGTCAAGTCACAGCAAGTATAAATGAGATCCAACAAATATTTCTACCTATATTAAAAGAGCCAAGGGTGGT